CTGGAATGATGGGATCTCTACAATCGTTCCTTCCTTTCCTCCCTTTCCTGTCCCTCCTTTGCTATGTATGCGTGAGTTTCTCACAAGGTCAGTAAAGCATAACAAGACTTAGCTCAGGCCTTGAACTGTGTGTGGTTGGTTTTCTTTGATTGAATTATTCTCAGAAGGCTGTGTTGCCAAGGCCCTGTGGGTTGATCAAGTGTCCACCTTTCTGACATGAAGTCTCCCGCCATCTTTATTTGCAGGCTAATGGAAGTGCTAAGAAATCTGGTGGGGACTTTAACCTCTTCCCCCTGCCCCACCTGCTTCTAAGATTCCAGCCCTTTCTCCCAGCTCTGGGAAAAGCAGTTCTCTGCCCTCTTCTAGTGGTGACAGCTCTAACCTCCCTAATCCACCTGCTACTAAACCATCGATTGCTTCTAACCCTCTCTCAGCCCCCAAACACGGACCACCTGCTCACTCTCTGCCTCCTCCTCCTTCATGTCTGCTGGCTCTTTGAGTTTCAGGAGCCTTACTCATCTGAGTAAAGGTCACCATCTTTCATTCTCACCCCGCAGAGTCAAAATGGCGAGCACACCCCCTCCTTTGTCATTCTCATCCTCCTCTCCTTCCCCCGCCTCCTCCGTCTCACTGAATCAAGACACCAGCTGGAATACCATCCATACTCCCAGCCTCACCAGCTACAAGGCACAGGCGGAGGTTCAAGCCATGCACTCATCCACACTTCAAAAAAGAAACCTCTTAAAAGGTCAAATCCTATCAGGCACAAGTCGAAGTTACATTTAAAAAAAAAAATTCCTTGTTCTGTAGCTGTTTCCACAAGAGAATGTATATATTGCTGTATGGTTTGAGGCTTAATGTAGTGCTCATGCTAAATACTGGTTAATGATTTCAGTAAAGCTCGTTTTTGGTTTTGTTTTTTTTTTTTTTTTGGTTGTTTATAGTTGCTATAGTGTCTACCATCTATACTCAATATCTATAAAATGCAGTAAGCATGTGTTACAAGCAGTTCTGGTGAGAGAGAAGGTCATTAACAGAGGCGGGAGAATTGTCTTAAACATATAAAACATATGATTCCAGAATTTTAGTATGTTTGTATAAAACTATTTTTCATTACGGAGACTAGAGTGAACAAGAAATTACACAAGTGTGTGACTACTTTAGGTGTAAAGATACTATAATATTTCCTTTTATTTTAGTGTTATTTAGCTTTATACAGTTCTTTTGTCAAAACTGTGGTTCCTTTCAAGATCTTTTGCCAAACCATTTTGATACTATAGCATTGTACATTTGAAGTAGTGTGCTAGACTATAAAACCAATAAGACTTCTACCTGAGCCCTACAGACAGGCTTTGTAGAAGGCCAGAAGTTTATCAAACCTATTGCACTGCCATGAAAATGCATATATATAGTTTTTTTAGCTGACAACCATTTCTTTGTACTTCTTTCTTTCTTTTTATTCCCTTTTTTTTTTTTTTTCTTTTTTCTTTTTAACATGTTGAGTTCTCAGTTGTTTTCTTTTAGATAACCTTCTTTTGTTTCCCAGGACCTGTTATTCAACTCTTGCATTGTGATTTTAAAATGTACACTCTGCGGTTCCACCATAAACCAAAACTTTTAATCTGCTAATGCATAGACATTAAAACCTACATGTGTATTAGCTGTGAGTGATTTTTACAAGTTAATTTTTATGCATGCTTTAAAAGTATATATTTGGGATGGGCAATGGAGTATCCATACATTTTTAAAAAAGCAACTAGTTTGCACAGCTAAAGTCTTGTATTAGTGTTTGTATAACAAAAAGCCATGTAATATACGACTATAAGCAGAACTTTGCAAAATAGTAAGGCTGCTACTTATTATTTTTGTACCTTGTCACTATAACTACTTCTAATCAAAAGAGCGAAATGCTTTATTACAGTTGTCTTTTCCTGCTTTGAAACTTTTTTTGGGGATATAACCCTTCACTCAAGAGGACACACTACCTCTACCAAGAAAGCTCTGGGGGTGGCTGTGGTGATTCCTAATAAATTAATTGCAAGTGTGGTGCCTTGAATTGCTGACCTGCTGACTCTCTCTCTCTCCTCTGGCTTATCAAGGTGTGGTTGTTGAAAGCAAACCTGGACACAGAGTTTCTACCCTCCGTTCCTGGAGGGGCTCTTATTATTTTCTCTCTTTTGCAAAAACTTCCAGCAGGAGTAAAGTGGAAATAAAAGCATTTATCCTGTAGCTTTCTTTTGAGTCCTCAACTTAAAAAAATATTGTTTAGCCTGAAATACTTCTAACATTACCATGTGTTTTTTAAAATGGGAAGAAATGTTTGGCGAAAATGTGCTTGCAATCTCAACCCAGCACAGGAGGCTGAGACAGGAGGATCACTTGGTAGGAGTTCAGGACCAGCTATGCAACATAGTGAGACCATACCAATAAAAAAAAAAAAAAATTCAGATTCAGGTGGGCATGGTGGTGTTTGCCTGTAGTCGCAGCATCTCGGGAGGCTGAGGCAGGAGGATGGCTCAAACTTGAGAGCCTGGGAGGTGGAGGCTGCAGTGAGCTATGATCACACCCTTGCACTCCAGTCTGGGTGACACAGCAAGACACTGTCTCAAAAAAAGAAAAAAGAAAAAAAAGGGAAAGTTAGTGAAAACAATACCAGGATTGTGAATTAACACACAGGAAGAATCTCAGGAAACTACTTAGATTTTCACCTCCAGAATGTTTCATTTGGTGATTTGATGTAAAAAGCAAATATTCTTGGAACTCAGTTGTTCAGTGTTACTGAGTTTTCAGGCTGGCCTTACTTCAGGATGCCTTTTGCAGAAATATTCATATCTCTGCTCATTATGTTAATGGCAGTCCCGTGTTTCAGGTGGCACTTAGGGAAGTATTTAGGATCCAACATTTCAATCATGTCCCATAATCACCTTAATGACATTATAGTCGTTTATATATAAATATATCTCATAGCTAATTCATGCCAATTTATTTGCTTCTGTTTATGGACAAGCTGAAAATTCTTTATAAGCAGTAGAACAGCAGATGGTGGGCTCACTTTTGCAGTTTAACTTCAGACTTCCCGGAGCTCTGTGAGTCACAGAGGTGATGGCCAAATTTAGTTAATGTCATGAAGGATGGGACCTGTTCACAGGTAGGGAAAACCCCACCAGTCCCATCCACTGCCTGAGATCCGGCCCAGTGCTGCCTGCCTCTTGGGAAACTGGAGAAACTACCATGATTGGAGAAACCAGCGTGTCAGGTGTTGCAAAGACTTCCTATCACAGCACAGACCCAGGAGGTGCCTGTCTAAATTAGTGCAATAGAGCTCTGCCTCAGTACCCATGCTTAAGCCCGACCTAGAGTGTTTTGGCTCTGTTTCAAACACTTCTCTCAACCTCATTAAGCACCGCCCTCTCCCTGTGGTTGTTTTGAAAAATAGAGCCCAGGCTCCTTCCTCATCCACCAACCAAAACCTAACACTTCCACACCTGTGAGCCGGTGAAAGTAACACCTGATGATTAACACCAGAGTCGTGTCAGTAAGTTTCCCCTGTGCACGTGTTTTCTTGGCTTGAGCGAATCCCGACCCCCATGAGAAAGCCTGAGGTAACGCCCCTGGATCTGATAAAGCATAGCCCCACAGAGGCTCACTCCTCTCACTCGCTCCCCACCTCCTGGATGAGCTCTGCTGCCGCTGCCTCCAGACCTCCCATGGAGGCCCCCCACCCCTCTCTGGAATCTGTAAGTAAGACATTTCCTCTGTTTGATGCATTTTGGTTTCACCTCATTTGGGCCTTGGCTGACCTTACACCCAAACCTAACCACACTCCATTCCATCAGGAGCTTCCCTAAGGCGCTATCTAAACTACGGCCACTCTCGACAGGGAAACCTCAAGACCCGTTAGAAATTGTAACAATAAAAACTCACAGCAGCACCTCGGTTCTTTGAATATCTCAGTGAATGATGTTGGGTAGAGGATGAGCTGAGCTGGGTTTTCGAATTTTGCTAAACAACATTTAACAGACACTCCAATTCAGGCAGTCTCTTTTCTTTTTTTTTTTTTCTTTTAGAGACAAGGCCTTGCTCCGTTCCCCAGGCTGGAGAGTGCAGTGGTACACTCTGCCTCACTGCAGCCTCAGACTCTGGGGCTCAAGCGATTCTCTTGCCTCAGCCTCTGGAACAGCTGGGACTATAAGCATGCACCAGCACCTGCTTATCTTTTAAGTTCTATTCCATTATTCCACTTAAACTAAAAAGATTCTTAGAAATAAACCATGTAGCTTCTCAGGTTCATTTGTGATGGGTCCATTCAGCCTCAGGAGCATCTTACTACTGCACATAGGGTGGGGTGGGGAGGGCATCTGGCCATGGCATCAGTGCTGCTTTCTGGTTGACCACCTTGGGCATGTTTTGGCTTCTTCACCTGTTCACGGAGAATAATACCACCTACTAAATAGGATCATTGGGAGGATTAAATACAATGTATACGAAATTCTGAAGACAGAGTAGAACATACTGAGCAAGCAATACGTAACTTGTAGCCCTCAAGAATGGCCAAGGAAAGTGGATTCCCCATCCTTAGAGGTAAGGAAACGAAGACCAAGGGAGTCTAAGTAATGGGCCCAAAGTCTCACAGTGGGCTAGGGAGAGAGTATGCGATTTGACCCAAAGTCTTCTTGGCTCCAAAGCAGGTGCCCTGTGCTGCTCCCTGTAAAGATATGTCAATGAGAGTTTATGCCTGTTGTCCGTGATGCATTGACCAGAGTAGAAAAAGGATCCTTTGTCTTGCAGACAGTCTGGTTGTCAGTTGGCTGCCAAAATTCAGATGTTGGTGGAAGAAGCCACATTATGTACAGTCTTTGCTCCCTTTCGTTTCTCACTGAAATAAGTAAAGATTCAGCCACAGGGCTGTCTACCCAAAGTGTTCTGAAGACTTCAAGGCATTTACTCACCTCCATTTCAGGCAGGCAGAGCCCACTGAAGTTGATTTTCTGTGTTCACAGCTGCAGAACCAGGAACTGCTGAGGGCGATGATGAAGAAGGCCGAGCTGGAAATCAGTGGCAAAGTGATAGAAACAATGAAGAGACTGGAGGATCCTGTGCAGCGACAGCGCGTCCTGGTGGAGCAAGAGAGACAAAAATATCTTCATGAGGAAGAGAGGATCATCAAGAAGTTGTGGTGAGTGCCAGTCACTTGCATGTTGAACTGTTTCACCTGCAAAGGAAAATTATCGTTGCTAAGAAGGAGGTCCTTCCCAGTTGCCCTCTCTTTATTGAGCACCTACTGTGTATAAGTTAGAGTTCTGCTGATGGTGGTATATGTGGACACTTCAGCACCTTTCCATGGAGGCCCAGGAAATTCAGTGGTCCTCAGGTGACTGCATTTCTTTAAAAGTTGCAGCATTGCTGGGCATGGTAGTTCACACCTGTAGTCCCAGTTACTCGCAAGGCTGAGGCAGGAGGATTGCTTGAGTCCAGGAGTTCGAGACCAGCCTGGATAACATAGGGAGATCCTATCTTAAAAAAAAAAAAAAAAAAAGAACAGAGAGAGAGAGTTGCAGCTTCATACTCTCTCCTCCAGGGCTCAGCAATACACAAAATTAAAAGGAGTAAATGGCAAAACCCAGTGACAAATAGGAAGGCTATATTTCATCTCAATAAATTAAAACTAATGGCCAAAATAACACAGCACTAAAATTATCTTCCTATTATTCAACTGTAGTTAAAATCGCAAAAGAAGAATTTAAATGTAAAGGGTATCTGATCCCAAATGGAAGATGCTTCCTTAGCTGTTACGAATGTTATTTAAGGTTCTTATTGAAAGCATCTATCAATTCCTACTATTGAAATGAGCAGAATTTTATTACTCCCCCATCAGCAGGCAGGCACATCTTTTATGGTAATTGTACATTTTGGTATGCAATGAAGATTTATCATAGAACTATCTCACCTTTTAGTATAATGAATAGTAATTTTGAGGGGTTTCTCCAGTGTTGATAATTCTCTTGTTTCTTGGAAAACTTAAATCTCTCAAATTGGGATTGCAAGGAAGCAATTTGCAAACTCTTCTCATGGCCATAATGAGAAGAGGTTTCCATGATGGAAAGCATTGTGTTCAATCACCTATCTCCTGTTGGATCTGTGGCTCATATCGCCCTGGATACCAACCTAATGTGTTTGATTAAAATTAGAGTGTCCCTCTCAGCAGTCTAGAGGGGGAAAAAAAAAAAACAACTTCAATTTGAGTTATTCTTTTCCTAATAAATTAAATCAGGCCGCTGTTCATCCACATCTCAAAATAGCTTCCAAAATTCTACTTAGTTCACACACTTATAGGCAGAGTTAATCACCCACCATGAGTTGGTAAGGCTGTTATTTGTCTGAAATGTTTTTGTGACAGCCCAATTATCTAAAACTAGGTCTCCAGATTCTTCTTTAAAACTTCTTTTAAAATGCATATCCTGGCTGGGCACAGTGACTCATACCTGTAATCCCAGCACTTTGGGAGGCCGAGGCAGCCAGATCACCTGAGGTCAGGAGTTCGAGACCAGCCTGGCCAACATTGAGAAACCCTGTCTCTACTGAAAATACAAAGAAACATAGCTGGCCATGGTGGTGTATGCCTATAGTCCAGCTACTCAGGAGGCTGAGGCAAGAGAATTGCTTGAACCCAGGAGGGGGAGGTTGCAGTGAGCCGAGATTGTGCCACTGCACTCCAGCCTGGGCGACAGAGCAGAACTCCGTCTCAAAAAATAATAGTAAAAATAAAAATAAAAACATATATCCTTTTAATAACATTTATATAAATTTTCCAACAAAATTATGAAAAAAAATTTTTTTGAGATGGAGTCTTGCTCTGTTGCCCAGGCTGGACTGCAGTGGCATGATCTCGGCTCACTGCAACCTCCGCCTCCTGGGTTCAAGCAATTCTCCTATGTCAGCCTCCTGAGTAGCTGGGATTACAGGTGCACGCCATAACACCTAGCTAATTTTTGTATTTTTAATAAAGTCAGGGTTTTACCATATTGGTCAGGCTGGTCTCAAACTCCTGACCTCAGGTGATCCACCTGCCTCAGCCTCCCAGAGTGTTGGGATTACAGGCGTGAGTCACTGTGCCCGGTCAGTAAATTTCTTTTTTAAAAAAATTGTGTTTATTGGTTAGCTGAAATAATTCTCACTTCTGGCCTAGAAAAGTCATCTTTAATCTCAATAATACTCTGAGATTACAGCCTAGCATAGGAATGAGACAGAAAAAGTAATGGAATGAACATATCATAAGAGGGCTTTATCTGGTTGGATTTGTGGGAAGGCCACAGATGAGTAAGATATGCAAAGAGCCCTTAAGGATCTTCAGTCTAGCAAAGCCAACCTGATGAATAGGAGAATGGCTCCAAACACGGGATTTACAGGTACCAGTTGTACCCACACAAAAGAGAGACTAACCCAGGGATCAGGAAGACTTAACCTGAATGAAGTCATTCGTTGTATGACCTACAGGCCACACACAGTAGCTTGCACATAGTAGTTTCAGAAATGGTTTGTTAGGCTGGGCACAATGGTTCACATGTATAGTCCCAGCAGTTTGGGAGGCTGAGGTGGGAGGATCACTTGAGCCCAGGAATTCAAGAACAGCCTGGGCAACATAGCAGAGCCCTGTCTCTACTAAAAATAAAAAATCAGCCAGGTGTGGTGTCATGCACCTGTAACCTCAGCTACTTAGGAGGCTGAAGCAGGAAGATCGCTTGAGCCCAGGAGTTCAAGGCTGCATTGAGCTATGACTGCGCCACTGCATTCCAGCATGGATATTGGAGCAAGACCCAATCTCTAAAAAAAGAAAGAAATGGTTAAACTCAACTGAGATGGCCTCGAAGATGGGGAGATGGCATCAGCAGAGGCCAGCGAGGGAAGGACTTCCGGGCAGTAGAACCCTGCAAACCAACAAGTTTCTGACCTGGAAAATGCAAGATGTCTTTGGAGAACTGGATAGCAGTCCAGTTAGGTGGGAGAGTTGGGTGCAAGATACTAATAACATCCCATATTTGGGGAGTGCCATTCCATTTGCACACTGACTTCCTGTATCTTAGACCATACTCAAGGCCTCACGTACCTGCTTGATGCCTGTCTGGGCTGTGCCTACAGAGATTGGAAGATTCTTTAAGAGAAATCTGGATTTCTGGCTTTTCTTGAAAGTTCCGGGGTTCAACCCCAGATTCACAATTTCTGTGGATGGAGCTTAGGAATCTGCAGTTTACAAACAAAGCGGGTGATTCTGAAGCACCTTCACATTTGAGAGTTACTGCCTACAATGATGAGGAAGACACTGAGTGTTTGGGTTTTTTTGGTTTTTGTTTTTGATCAAGGAAGTAGCAAAACTAGAGTTGTATTGGAGAGAGGTCCCTCTGGTGATCATGTGCGGGACTGATTGAGGGGAAAATAGACCAGTGACTAGGAGACCATATGGGAAGCTACTGTATCCGTCAGGCAAAAGGCAGCGAGGCCTGAACCAAGCAGTGAAAGTAAGAATGAAGTCAAATGCAAAACGTCCTATGGTATTCACCACCTACGACTAGCTCTCAAAATTTTTCTTTAAAACACCTTTTGAAATATATATCCTTTCGGCTGGGCTCAGTGGCTCTTGTCTGTAACCCCAGCACTTTCGGGGGCTGAAGTGGGAAGATCGCTTGAGCCCAGGAATTTAAGACCAGCCTGGACAACATAGGAACATAGGGAGACCCCATGTCTACAAAATAAAAATTAAAAATAAAAACTAAACCCTAGCCGGGCATGGTGGCACGCACCTGTGGTCCCAGCTACTCAGGAGGCTGAGGTAGGAGGATGGCTTGAGCCTGGCAGGTCAAGGCTGCATGATCACACCACTGCATCCCAGCCTGGGTAACAGAGCAAAACCCTGTTTAAAAAAAAAACAATTAAAAATAACTATATACATATATATCCTTTTAATAATGGTAGTGTAAATTTTCCTTCTATAAGGTATAAAGCAGGTTAACTGATTGGATGGCTAGATCTGAATGGCAAGAGAGCAGGTTATAAAAGACAGCTGGAAATAGCTAGAAGAGAAGAACTAGAATGTTTCTAGCATGAAAAAAAGACAAATATTTAAGGTGACGGATATCCCAAGTACACTGATTTGATCTGTACAAATTATACGTACTAAATTATCACATGTACCCCAAAACTCACAACTAGTATGCGTCGATTTTTAAAAAGAGCTTATTTTTTAAAAGCCAGGAATTTCAACTCTGGAATACCAGAACAGCAATATCCCTCTTTCCTTCCCCTCTCCCTCCTTGTTCTCCTTTTCCTCCTTGTCCTTCTTCCAAGCACTAGAATATAAGCCTCCTTGTGGAGACTTATATTCAACTCATGTTAGGTTGAATTACTGGTGAGCCATTCAGAAGGCAGAGAGATTAAATTTGGGTCTAAAACTATAAAGAGATGGGCCGGGCACGGTGGTTCACACCTATAATCCCAGCACTTTGGGAGGCCGAGGTGGGTGGATCACTTGAGGTCAGGAGTTAGAGACCAGTCTGGCCAACATGGCGAATCCCCATCTGTATTGAAAATACAAAAATTAGCTGGGCATGGTGACCGGCACCTGTAATCCCAGCTACTGAGAAGGCTGAGGCAAGAGAATCACTTGAACCCGGGAGACAGAGGTTGCAGTGAGCTAAGATCGGGCCACTGCACTCTAGCCTGGGTGACAGAGAGAGACTTTGTCTAAAAATAAAAAATAAAACTATGAAAAGAAATTGGGTCTAGATAATTTCTACATGAAAATAATAATTGGTCTTCTAATAATAGTCAGGTGAAATATATTCCAACAAACTGGATGCTTCTTTTTAACAACACTAGGATGAAAAGCAACTTAAACAAATAGAATGCTATAAACTGTAACTTCTATGAATATCTGACATTCTGTGGAGTGAAGCTGGTATTTCAAAAGTCATATTGATTACCATGTCAAAAATGTATTTCCAGCATTCATTTTAGCCCCATGTCTCTCTTACATTTTTGAATTAATAAATTTGAATTTTAATGTTTTATCTAAAGTAGGCATCATAAACATTTGCATAGAAGTGACATTGTTGTGTACCATCGTATCAATATACATTTCTGTATATTCCATAAAGCTGTGAAGTTTAAGAGCCTCTGTATGCAAGGTTGTGAAATCCAAGAGGTATATTGTATAGAAGAGATGAAAACAGAATTCTAGGCAGGCTGACTTTGAGTCAGATGACAGTCCCTTGCAGTATTAATTACACACTGACAGACATGTTGGTTGTTAACGGAACCAGGATAATATTTGTGTCTTAGCTCTTCCAGCAAAGCTTTGCAGGACTGGACACTGTGTCCAGTCAATGCAGGGAAGTCATTCTGTTTGGTTATGCAATGGAAAAGAGCTTTTCCACACGAAGTAACCATATTTAGAGCCCTTCAGTGGGGTGGCACAATCTCTTCCTGTCAAGAATGCAATAGCTGTAGAAAGTTTCCTGCGGGTATGTTCACAGAACACTGAGCCCCTTTCCATAGTTCACAGACGTGGACAATGAGCAGATGAGGCTTTCCCCCTCTGGTCCTGAAGTAGCATCATTTCATCTGAAATGACCACAAGCAATTTTGGTTTATTTTTCATAACAGAATGAAAGACATGACCAAAAACTCCATCCCACTTCTTGCAGTGGAGGAATTTGTCATTTTCCCTGGGATCCCGTTGAACACATGTGGCGTCCTGCCTGAACCCCTCCCGCAGCTGCCATGTGACCCAGAGCTCTATTCACTTGCCCACCTAAGTGGAAAGGGCCTTTGAGGGCCATCTGTTTGCAGATGACGCCGTGCATTCCTTTTTCTCTTTCGGATGCTGGCTCCACACTCCGGGCTCCAGGAGGTGGGATCGCTGTTCACTTACCGCCCCCTAGTGGTCGCCATTTCCAAAACGGTCTGCGTTTCCCAAAGTTCTTTTTCCCTGCTTCCTCGAGAGAGATTTTTCTCTTTTAGATGTGTAGGTGTTTAGGATGGGGTTAGTAATGTGCCCAAGGAGGTTACTGTTTTCTCAAGGGTGAGACCTCGATCTCCCTCTCTTGGAGCTAGCATCCCCCTCTATCCACAGACACCACATCTGTCGTCATTTTTATTTTCTGCAGTCATTTCTTCTCTTGGTAGCCTGGAGAAGAAAGAGCTCATCCTTGTTGATGGGACAATCAGTATAAACCAGAGGTTCTCATTTAGGGGCAATTTTGCTCGCCCTTCCCCAGGGACATTGGACAGTGCCTGGGTCTGGAGACATTCTGGTTTGTCACAAGTTGGGGTAGGCAAGGTTGCTACCGGCATTGAGTAGATGAAGGCCAGGGGGCTGCTGAACATCCCACCGTGCACAGTTTCCCCACACCACAACGAAGAATTACGTGGCCCCAAAATGTCAAATGCTAAAGTTGAGAAGCCTGATATTAATCAATGTGGGCTTCTCGTTTTACTGCACCGCAGGTCAGTCTCTCTCTCTCTCTCTCTCTCTCTCTCTCTCTCTCTCTCTGTCTTTCTCTATCTCTCTCCTACCCCCGCCTCCTTCCACCTATCCCTCCCTCCATCCCTCTGCTAGCATCAGCACCACTGAATATAAAGACTGGGTCCTCTGTTAGCCAGGCACAATCGTCCCTTGGGCCAATGTGGAACATTCCCTGGAAAAACCTCCTTGTACCTGCCTCACACCATTGCGAAATGTTCCCAGCCACTGTTAAAGATGAGCGCCCCCCTCCTCCACCACCACCACACGAGAGGCAGGGGAGGGGCAGGGGAGGGGCTGGGGCTCTATACAAAATCAGAGGCTGAGACAGGCACTTGGCCCCGTACTTCCTCTGTGAGGCCTGGTGTTCAGCGGTCTGTGCTGCTGTCCTTGCTCCCGCAGCGAGTTGGAAGACTTTGTTGAAGACTTGAAGGACTCCACGGCAGCCAGCCGATTGGTTACTCTGAAAGACGTGGAAGACGGGGCTTTCCTCCTGCGTCAAGTGGGAGAGGCTGTAGCTACCCTGAAAGGTAAGCTTTGTGCTGCGCCAGGGGAGGAGTCTGAACTACCTTTCCTGGGGTGTTTAAAAATCTGCCACGTAGAGAAGGATTCATTCATGTATGCAAGTATTTATTAAACACCTACATGTGCCAGGCATTGTTCTGGGCACTTGGGATATCCCAGAGCACAAACATCCCCCTCTTCCTGGAGCTGATATTATAGTGGGTGCAGTAAGATTTCACACTAAATGATTCCAGTAACACTTTCTATTTGCTAGGCTCTTACAGTGCACCAGGATGCATGTGCCAAACTCATTAAAAACACAAAGTGGGAGGATCACTTGAGCCCAGGAGTTCAAGACCAGCCTGGGCAACATAGAGAGACCCCCATTTCTACAAAAAAAAGGGCCAGGTGTGGTGGTGCATGCCTGTGGTACCAGCTACTCAGGAGGCTGAGGTGGTAGGATCTCTTGAGCCTGCAAGGTCAAGGCTATGGTGAGCCATCATTGCACCACTGCACTCCAGCCTGGCAGCCTGGGTGGCAGAGTGAGACCCTGTCTCAAAAAAAACAAAACAAAAAAACAAACAAAAAAAAAAAACCCAAAAAATAAAATAAAATAAAAATCCTGTAACCAGGCATGGTGGTTCATGCCTGCAATCCTGGCACTTTGGGAGGCCAACACAGGAGAATTGCCTGAGGCCAGGAGTTCAAGACCAGCCTAGGAAACATAACAAAACCTCATCTCTTAAAAAAAAAAAAAAAAAAAGTTTTTTTTCAGGCCAAGTGTAGTGGCTTATGCCACTTTGGGAGGCTGAGGCGGGCAGATCACCTGAGGTCAGGAATTCGAAACAAGCCTAGCTAACATAGTGAAACCCCATCTCTACTAAAAATACAAAACTTAGTTGGGTATGGTGGCACAAACCTGTAGTCCCAGCTACTCAGGAGGCTGAGGCAGGAGAATTACTTGAACCCAAGAGGCGGAGGTTACAGTAAGCCAAGATCATGCTGCTGCACTCCAGCCTGGGTGACAGAGCAAGACTCCATCTCAAAAAAAGAGAAAAAAAAATTAATTAGCTGGTCATGGTGGTGTGCAGCGCCTAAATTGTCCCAGCTCTACAGGAGGCTGAGGCAGGAGGATCACTTGAGCCCAGGTGTTTGAGGCTCCAGTGAGCTCTGATCATGCCACTGCACTCCAGCCTGGGTGACAGAGACAGACCCCATCAATCAGTCAAATTACAAAGTAATAATAATAACCCTAATGGTCTATTGGCTTTATCCCAAATACACAGACAGGAAACAGGCCTAGAGGAGCTTTACCCTTGCCCAAGGTGACTTTCTCCAATGCTCCTCTGTGCTCTTAACCCACTGCCACCTGAAGATGTGTGAACCGCCCTGTGGCTTGTGAACTCTGCACTTCTCTGTCCAGTATCGGAGTGCGGGATGAGGGTTGTCGTTCTGGCTTTTTTTCCTCCAATTCACCTGCTGGTTTGGCCTGCAGGAGAATTTCCAACCTTACAAAACAAGATGCGAGCCATCCTGCGCATAGAAGTGGAGGCCGTGCGGTTTCTGAAGGAGGAGCCACACAAGCTGGACAGTCTCCTGAAGCGTGTGCGCAGCATGACAGACGTCCTGACCCTGCTGCGGAGGTGACCGGGCCCTTACCGTGCTGGGGGTGGCCTGCGGAGGGGTGTGCTGGGAAAGCGAGAGTGGAGGTTTGGGACTTCAGGCTTCCAGCATGCTCCCAGGACATATGCAGTGTCCTGAGGAAAAGCCCCAAGTCCTTCTCATGCTTGAACTTTTATTGCAACATGGCTTGAGGTTCTAATTCTTCAACACAGGATTGTTAGGTGGAGCCCATCCTAGGGTTTAAAATTAATAGACACAATAAACATTGTTTTAAAATCATCTGAAAGGCCAGCTGTGGTGGCCACTCAGGAAGTAGAGGCAGAAGGATCCCTTGAGCCCAGGAGTATGAGGCTACAGTGAGCTATGACTGAGCCACTGCACTCCAGTCTGGGCCACAGAGAAAGACGCCATTTCTTTAAAAAAAAAAAAAAAAAATCATTTGAAGGTGGGTTTTTTAAAATAATATTTTGAAGTTGAAAAATTGATTGAAATAGTTTATTCGCCTCCTTCACTTCAGGGGCATAGATAAATTCAGTTCAAAGAAATGTAATAGAAGTAAACAAAGTCTGTGAGATTGTTGGTCCTGCCTATAAAAGAGAAACAAAGCCTTTTGAGTGGCTTGGGCCAGGCTCCCTTGCTAAAGGTAAACCTGCTCATCAAAGAGGTCACAGTGGAGTAAAGACCAAAAGAAATTCAGGACTTTCACTGAAAAGAAAATTCCAGACCGGGCGCGGTGGCTCAAGCCTGTAATCCCAGCACTTTGGGAGGCTGAGACGGGCGGATCATGAGGTCAGGAGATCGAGACCATCCTGACTAACACCCAGCTAATTTTTGTATTTTTAGTAGAGATGGGATTTCACCATGTTGGCCAGGCTGGTCTTGAATTTCTGACCTCAAGGGATCCACCCGCCTTGACCTCCCAAAGTACTGGGATTAAGGCACACGCAGCCACTGCACCCGGCCTGTTTCAATTTTTAATGCTGATGCTCTCCTTTGTTGGACAGTGTAATGAAACCTGTTGACCAGACTGGAAGCAGAAAGAAGGCTGGTCTAGCGCTAACTAGCATTGTTCTCGTGGCCAGCGATGGAATCCCAGGACTTCTCTGCCATTTCTCTCTTTAGCAGAGTCTTATTTAGTCTCTACATAAATGAGACCTACCTATTTCTTTGCATTTAATATTACTGTCTTCTGCATGCTGTACTAAGGTTGTTTCATCATGCCTTTCTATCCCACACTCCAGCTGTACAGAACCCTTTAAGCCACTTCCTTACCAAAGCTCTCTAGACTCTAAAAATGCCATGTTACCTTTTTTCCTTAAAGAATATCCTTTGCATTTGCCTAGGATTGAAGAAGAGCAGTAAACTAGTACATCTCAAGGTAGCCTGAATGCACTTCTGCTCTTAGTGTCATTCATTGTACTCCAGCACCACTGTGGATAGAGTCCCTGTGGGACGAATGAGGACTCTGGGCAACTTTCACCTGGGACTGAGCATTCTCCCGAGGAAGTCATTCATTTCCCAAGAGTTTGTGCAAGTCTGTGTCTCCCATGTGGCAGGAAGAGTGACCAACCACCACTCCCATTTTCTGAGATGCCACTGTGACTTGGGTCAATAAGCTTGGCCTTGCGGATGGATATTCCCACTAACTGGTTTTTCTTATTTGAATTTCTTACCATTTTTTCCCTTTGATAATGTGGACTATTTTATGCAAGAAAGAGGGGCGCCAAGGTATGACTGAAATCCTGTATGGCTGAGAGGTTTAGCATCAACTGGTGTACTCTGGAAACATTTTTGCAAATCACTCTGGGGAGATACGTTTCGTTGCTCACCATTTGAGATTTCCTTCTTTCCACCTATTACAGCAGAGAGATCATACTATTAATACTTAAAATTACTTGGTGTTTTTTTTTCCCTCCTTGGTGGATTTGGTAACCTTTAACTATCCAGACTGCGTGGATTCTTACATATAAGAAACTCAGTATTGTGACAGACCATCAATTTTAAACTAAAGAAAATGTGTGGAGTTCTGATATCAGAAGCTTACAGTTACAAAATTAAGATCAGTGTTACACATGGCACTGAGAATTACATTCTCTGAGGCAAAACTCAAGGCTGCAATGCTTGGAGTTGGACAAAATTACCCTTGAATATCATCTTGATTGTCATAAAGTTCAGATGCAGATGCACCATCTCTCAAAAAGAGCTCAACTTAACTCAGCTGGCTTTTTCTGTGAAGGAACAGCCATCATTACTCTTTTTTTTTGAGACAGAGTCTGCACTGTCGCCCAGGATGGAGTGCAGTGGCGCACCTTGGCTCACTGTAGCCTCCACCTCCCAGGTTCCGTGATTCTCCTGCCTCAGCCTCCTGAGTAGCTGGGATTACAGGCATGCACAACCACACCCAGCTAATTTTTCTATTTTTAGTAGAGATGGGGTTTCACCATGTTGATCAGGCTGGATCTCGGTTCTGACCTCAGGTGATCCACCCACCTGGGCCTCCCAAAGTCCTGGGATTACAGGCATGGACCACCATGCCTGGCCAGACCACCATTACTTTTTCCACTGAGAATCAGATAAATTAACCAGCTTGTATTTAATAGTGTACGAATATACTGTTTGCAGAACAGGGACCCCATCACACAAGCCCAGGGGTCTGTGGGACTGAGATCCGCAGTGAGGAGTGAGGTCCCTTCTCTTATCTCAGGCTTGTGCAAGGACAGTCACTCATGAGAGATAACAGCACAGGCAATGCCCGTGCCATATACATTGTTCTTCTCTCTCCTTTTCCTGTTTTGAACTACAAGTATGCATAATCTAACCACATGAGGTGACATGTAGTTTCCCATTCACTTACTTGCATTGTTGTTTAACGATGTGTTGAAAACAATGGCAATAGTTCTGCAAAATGTACCATGGTCTGAGGTGTAGAAATGTGAGCCTATTTCAAATGCCAGTTAAACTGTAATGAAGCATCAAAGAGCCCTGGAGAGAAGGGAGCAGTATCTGTATATGGAAATCATTGGGAAATTTTCATTAACGCCTTGAGATGGCCAAGCTGTTAGGATAGCTCATTTTCCTGCACGATTCTGTAAAGGCCTCCAGGCTAAAGTTCCTATGACATTAGATCCAACATCATCTACTTTCAAATACTCTGGGTTTTTTTGTTGCTGTTGTTTGTTTTTTGTTTTTGAGACGAGTCTGCTCTTGCCTCAGTCTGTAGTTCAGTAGTGCGATCTTGGTAGTAGAGATGGGGTTTCACAATGTTGCTGCTGGTCTCAAACTTGATACCAGGTGATCCCCAGCTTGGCCTCAGCCTCCCAGCGCGGGATTACAGGCCCGAGCCACCATGCCCGGACAGGTTTCTGTCATATTTCTCCACTATCTAAAGAAGAGACATGGCGGGGCACGGTGGCTGACGCCTGTAATCCCAGCACCTTGGGAGGCCAAGGCAGGCAGATCACAAGGCCGTGAGATCGAGACCATCCTAGCTAACAAGGTGAAACCCCATCTCTACTAAAAATACAAAAAATTAGCCAAGAGTGGTGGCGCCAGCACGAGTAGTCCCGGGTTCTTGGAGGCTGAGGCAGGGGAATGGCATGAACCCGGAGGCGGAGCTTGCAGTGAGCAGCTTTGGCACCACTGCACTCCAGCCTGGGCAACAGAGCAAGACTCCATCTCAAAGAAAAAAAAAAAAAGACATGTTTGTGTTGTCTTTAAGCTAAGTGACACAAGTGTTACTACCCACACAGCAAACATCTCCATCATTTATACCAAAACCACTCAGCAGCCTCCCAGCTGAGGTGTACGGCCTAGAAATGTGTGCAGCTCAGTGAGATCTGGCCTGGGACACTGCCATGCTAGGAAACAGCCTCTTTTGCAAGGTGAAAAGAAAGAAAGCAGGGCAGAAAGACTCAAAACACAGGATGTGCAAACAGGGTTGTTTCCAAGGGAGAAGTTTTTCATTTTTCCAGGAGGCCCCTGTTGGTCTGTGCTATGTCTTTTTTTTAGCCAGTCAGGTCACTGACTTGATACTGAACACTGATCACGAATCTTGACCTCGCTGGGATGTGCGGCTCTTCACGTTCCTGAGCCAGGTTGGGTGAACTTCACGCCTTCTAGGTGGTACCTTTATAACTGGGTGGTGCATCCACCTGACAAACCGGTCTGAAAGTCAATAGAGCTTTTAACAAAACAATTCTCTTTGTTTTACAGAGAGAGGATGCAAGCCATGGAGAAACAGATTGCCAGTTTAACTGGCCTCGCTCAGCTCCGTACTTTTAAAGGGCCTATTACAAGTTATAGCAAAGATACATCTAGGTAAAAAAGAAGAAAGCCTATGAAAAACAATAATTCAATCTGTTTCTCTTTTAATCATTAAGATAATTCATTCATTCAAATCTGTTTCCTTGTAATCATTTCAAGGCTGATAATATTCACATCTCTATGGATCATGGGCATTTTTGTTTGTTTGTTTTTGGGGTTTGGCTTGGTTTTTTTTTTTCTCCTCTGGTAATTCTTGGTCAAGGTAACACTTTGGCCCAAGAAGGTAAATGGGCTTCTGTGTGCATGTGGCTTCATGGACCACTCACCATGCAGTGCCTGCAATCACCAATTTGCGTGTCCACGCGCCATCATCTGAAAGTCACAAGTGAGCCTGGCTGCATCTCCACCCCCAGTGCTTGAAGCACACACCTGGGAAGCCTTTTCCATCCTGGCCAACAGATGCTGATGCTAAAATACCTTCATTGCTTAATCCCATCACTGCCAATTGCTTCGAATAGTGAATGGAATGGGCTAAAAAAAAAAAAGGCATTTTGAAACTGCATAGCTGACTCTTTTTTCTTTTATTCAGCGAGAAAAATGATGAAAACCACAGCCAACAGGAACCACACAGATAGTGCAGGTAAGTGAGTGCTTTTGAGCTGTAGGAGGCCTGTGGCTGCTCTGGGATGAGTCCTGACTTGTCTCAGAAATGTTTGACATTTCCCTAAGTCACTATTTGCATGACGTCAGAGGATCT